AAAGTAGGTATTACAAAAATAAATAAGTTTATTAAATAATGTATTTGTTAATAATTTGAAATGTTGATTTTTTATGAAAGTTGTATAAAATTTAATTAAAAGCAAATCTAAATATCTATTAGAATAAAGCCGATAGGAATAATAATTTAGCCGGTATTAAATTATTTATGATATAAATTATAAATAAACCGATTTTTAACGGTCATAAATCACATTTGAAGGTCTTTTTAAGAACAAAACAAGCATGAAAACAGCTCAACCAGGCGATTCGTGTTGCGTTATTCAGAGTATGGTGTATTGGTGTAGACTGGTATAGTGCAGTATATTGTAGTATACCTTTATTAGTTTTTATATTAATCGAATCATTCAATACATAGAAACTGATACATTGTCACAGTTTATATTTTTATAAAACATATGTATTTTACATATCATACTAATATTATGCTAATATTTAAAATACTAAAACAGTGAACGTAATCCTATCTGATATAAATCGAAATTTGACTAACTATAGTAGTGTTAATGTGTTATAGATACACAATTATATTATTATCAACTCTTTATTTTTGAGTTTTTGACAATGAATTAAAATTACAGTCTACAGTAGTACAAAACATAACGACCTGTGTATTAATATCATGCTGAGTAATATTATATTACAAGCTTGATTTAATATTTCATTAAGCACGTAATATTATATTACGAAATATCATAAAATAACAATTTATTGGCCTGTATTTTGTAATAAGTATATTGTGCATTTGTGCATCAATATTTTTGTGTTTTCAACACCTACCGTTTCTCTTTTACATAATTAGTTATTAGTTATTACTTATTAATGACATTCAAAATAATTTTGCGTGGTGAGATTTAATTTAAAAAGTATTATCATACGTATATAATTAATCTGAGATCATAAAATACGTCTCTGGTCTTGATTAAATATAATATGACGCCCACTATGCCGATATTTTGAATTTAACTACCCACATTTATATAAATGATACCTTTTGATCATAACAAATACATCAAAACAATAGTTTCATCGAGGTAATATATTTGATGAAGGTGTAATATGGAAATTTTCCATCGTAAATATATTTCCAGCTAGTAGAAATAAAAGACCCAAAGAGAACCTAATAAAATATGTAAAATAAACTTATTGAATAACCAACAAGTGTAATGGATGTCCAAACATTTAAATAATACATATATATAATATATATATATTATATATATTATATTAATATATATATTTAACAAGCAGAACTTTATTATTTTTTTCATTTATTACTTTAACATAGATTAATAAATGTACCCATTATAAATTTATGATAACTAAATAAAATAGAAAAAAATCAACAAACTATTGAGAATACTCTAGTTAAAACTTAAATAGAAATCGAAACGTTTAGAGAATAAACTATTATCGATGGAATAGTAATTAAAAACCAGTTATCAATAGCCTATATTTCAGAAGTCATATAAATTAATATAAGTAAGAAATTGTAAATAAGTTATGAGTTTATGACATTATATTCAAAATATTACAACGCCTTAAAATTATACATATTTTATAATACGATAAGTACAGAAAAGTTAAATTGTAAAATGTATAGTTCTCCAAACAAGGGACTTTGTAATATGTATTGATAGTATTAATAACAAAAATTAACTAAATACTGTAATATGATAGTGCTTATAATGTAAGTAGTAATTATAAATACGTTTAAGGAAATATAAACAATACGATTTAAAATAATATTCCAGAAATAATTCTTACTACAAAACAATGGATTGTAATAAACTACAACATTTAAAATTTGTTTAATGTCCTAATCGATAATTTCATAATATCATTGACAATTTTATAATATATTAATTTAAGAATAGTCTATAATATTATTGTAAAATCGTATTTCAATAATACCCAACTAATTTTTTTCTTAACAACATACTTTTAATTTTTCTTATAGACGCTTATTTCGTCACTTTGTTAGAATTTGATTAACGATCATCGACCTACGATGTTTACTTGTGTACCCGATATTCAGTGGAATAGTAATAACAGTCGAAATTGATGGGCATCTGTATCGGAATGCGAAAATTTTCGTGGAGAAGGACTGAGAAAAAAAAGAGGGGAAAAAACACAAAATAACACACGTCATTCGGATGTTCACTAATCTTGTTTTCCGTTTAGGTCGTAGATAGCAGGGCGCGTAAGGGTTGGCTTCAAGGGGTGGTGGAAAAGCGCGCGAAGGGTGACGTTAGTAGTCGTGCGATGATATTAATGATGTAGTTGGAATTTATTTAACAACCGGCGGTGACCGAAAATAAAAACTGTTTTAAACTGTAGCGAACGGGAATCTATCACTGTAATTAATGAACTTATAATGACAGCACACCTATATCATTAGTGTGCGCGCTTTAAACGAATCATCTGCAGCTATGATGGTATAACTGAAGACCGAGCGTCTTCGACGAGGACGGAAGTAAAAAGCAAACACACGAAAAACCCTCAAAACTTCCGTGTATCTTCTGTATTTTGTAATACAATGTCTAATCATATACTAGCTGTTTCTTGTTGTGTTACAAACTTTGAGAATGTGCCGTCCCATATGTGAGTGAGTGGAATCGAAAACCTGTTATGCATTTTGTGAATACGGGGTTTTTAATGGCGATTTCCGCTATAGATGGATTTATTTTTGCCGTTTAAGACTGAATGAGATAAATACAAAAGTACGAAAAGTACTCTTAAAAATCCCAATATACCTACTCAAAATATGTATTTTATTCTATCGCTTATTCACACTATAATTCTCGAAAATCACACTATACAATCAACAATCCTGAACATAAAAATTATTAGGGGTTTCTATGTACGACTTGTTTAACTACTTACATCGAATTTCTGTGTAAATACTAGATATACCCACATATGTGACTAACGAGTAACGAGTAACTGGTAATAGATATTTTACTCATCTATTGAGCCCCAAAATATTTTCCAATACTCAGTATAGATGCATAATTCGTGACTGTTCAGTGTGGTGATACTGCAGTTGTTTCGTTTAAGCAGAGTCTCCTTTGAAAAATAATATTATCGTTATAGTTGTACAGACACCCTTGACATTTATATATATGTAATAGGTATATATAGACTTTCGCGATTTCTTCTAGCACGTTCTCATCATTAATAAAATAACGTCCAACGACCGTGCATAATACCTGTCACACATATCACTATCACTACCCGGAGGAATGAAGAAATAATAAGAGTCACGTGTCTTTACATCAAACAATAACGTTCACCGTATTTCCGGTCGACCACATTGGTAGTAACTAATGAATTTATTGCTTCTACAAATGTATTTATTTAAATGCATGTTAAATCACTTGACACCGTTGTCTTATGCGTCGAGGAGATTTTCTTTTTACGATCAAATTTGTTAAATAATAATTAAAGTGTGTTTGAAATAATATCTACCTACTACAGTACCTACCTAACATAACCATAATATTATGTTTTCATATCAAACAGCCATCAGGTTGTAGTTATAAATCTACATAATATTTTATAAGAATCCTATTCTCAGTCAATTGTTAAAACGTATAAAAGCACAACAAAAAAATATTTAGTTAGATAATATTATATTGGTACTGAGTAAAGAATACAACACAACACTTTTGGTTTAATTTTCTCATGGAAATAAAATATCAGTTAAGTTATTATACTGAGTGATTTTTTTTATTTCTACCAGTAAAATATATTTTCTAATAAGTCAATTAACAATTATATTGTTTTGTGTTTGTAATGACGTTAAGAAATCAAATTACATATATATTTGCATGATGATTTTTGGTTTTAGGTAATTAAATAATTTTCGTTAAAACTTCCGGGGTAATTCTGATTGCAGCGGTATTTTAAATGTGACATTAAAAATTTATAATTAATAAGTAGTAATTAAAACTTAAAACTACTATACAGTATTTTTTTTGTTATTATGTAAGTACCTATTTAAAATGTGACATTATACAACCTATTATATTGTTATATTATACTAAACAATTCATGCCTGGATTCATATCAATTAGGTAACTTCTATTTATTATATGTTTCTATTCGTATTATTTCAACAATTTAATTACCGGATTTTGTTTTACTCGTGAATTGATTGTGTTCTATATTGTTAATTAATCTGTTAAGTAACATTTAAAAACTAAGTCACTTCATATTATATTTACTCGACACTGCAGTGCTAGTGTATGTAAAGATCGGTGTAAGGCCAAATAACGTGTGGCTGAGCGCCAACTGGACTAATGTAGTTTTAATGAAGCACGTGCTTGGTTTTTTTTCTTGTCTCTGTTGAGGGACAAAAAGTGTTTTTTTTATTATTAATTTACTTAGACATAATTATTTGAATATTTTATTTTCCCAAGACACCTCTGAGTTCTGATGGATGCAATAGATTTTCAAAAATTATAATATGATTTATATGATTATGCCTATGTCATTAAATTAACATAGTTGTAATTATATTTTAGTATTAAATTGCATGTCAAATGATTCCAAGCTAATGACAAACTTTATTTGTCATTATAATATTCATTATAATACATTTTTCTAGCTGTATATTTTTCTTGTGTTTATAAACCAAGTAAAAATATCAAGTACTTAGATTCGTAGAAGACCTAAATGTTAAATTTGTATTGTATTTCTTAATTTTCAATTTCAACATTATACTTAGAGGTATAACGTATTATAAATTATTACTGTAATAACTATTAGCTATAATCATTTGTAGCAAACAAATGAGGCTTCTAACTAATTAATGAAATACCCTAATATGTTCTACGTTTAGAGGTGAAAAAATTATTACTAGTTAGTAGTTTCCCATATAATGCCATAATGAATAAAATAATATTAGTTTTGTCTACTATCTATATTATTTGTTTATAAAACATGTATTTATTATATTATACTCACTGTTATTTAGTTAAGTACCGGCTTGCCAATTGACTGTATGAAAATGGCAATGGATGCCACAGATAGCGCAAGACTTGGATTAAACTTGAATTTGAGCGTGCAGCCTCAATCATATCATTGGATTCAATCACCTAAAGGTACTGATGATGAGGATGAGGATGACCGTAGAAGAGAGGATGACGATTGTTCACCGGAAGAAGAACCGGATATCCTGGAAATGCAGGTATAATTTCATTAATTAATTTCCTATTGTAAATAGCTTATTTAACAACAACTATATTTAGGAACTTAACTTTCTAAGAAGTTAAAAAACAAAGTTGTTTTTAAGTTATAAAGTACTAAACTTTTTGTTTGTCTGTATCATTGTACCTCATGTTGATTTACATGTTTTGATTTCAGAGAGAAGAACGTGAAACTCTTAATCAGTTGGCTCGTCGTTTGGCAAATGGGCCACACGGACTGATGGGAGGTCATACCGCGTCTATGATACAACATTTGGTTTATCGCCATCCTAATGGGATGCCTTTATCCGATCAGATCGTCATGCCAATTCCCTCTAGACGACCGGCCAATATAGAATCACCACCAGGATCTAGTCGTTCAGGTGACACACCTCTTGGTCATGAATATACACCCGAAAACGAGTCATCTCTGTTGGCCAGAAAGGGTGAGGCACAATCGTGGACTTTTGAAGAACAGTTTAGACAGGTATGTTTATTTTTCTGTCTGTCATCAACATTTAAAGGAGTAAAAATTCTTCGAGTTTTGAAATCACTATCTTTTATGATAGGAAAGTGAATTTATTTGGTGCATCCGGGAGGTCAAAATTTAAAATTCTCAATAGTTTTTAGTAAGGAAATTCAAAAACTAATAACCGTAGAAACTAATAAAATAAGAGCATATTCATTATATGATAACATTTTCAAATTATTTCGACTATTTTTGAGATATTTACAGTCTTGATAAATTAAAAAAATTTTACATCGGTATTCATTATTTATCCATCTTTTTTTTTACTTTATGGTAAATATTAATTTTAATCAAAAAACTGTATGCTTATCGGACTATTTTATTTTTAATGTCTGTGTTGGATTTTTATCGTTTTAAATTTAACATAATTCTTTTAAGCAATACACCTATTTTATCTGCCTGTGTTAAATAAACTTTAAAATAGCAAAACTATTTAAGTCACCATTTTTTTTATCACAATAATGATTTTGATAACAAGATTGATTTCAATCTTTACTAAGCACGAGTATGGGTGCCTGACGCATAATAAAAGCAGTCATGAAGCAAACAATGTTTTCTTTGGATTAAAAAAAAAATATGCAAATTAAAATCAACTCTTGATGATTTCACATGGACTATATTGATAAAATTTTACTTTCGTGGGGGAGGATAAATTTCTTTTTTTTAAGTGTACTTAATACAATTCTCGTCAAACACACGCCACATTGTCGCCGGTTGATGCGCGAGTGTCCTTTCTCATGGAGGTCGACGACACTCGGTCATACACAAAAGACCACAATCAGTATATTATGTATGTGTGTATGGGATACGTATAATGAAACAAATAGTCGAAAAAGACGATGAGAGAAAAAAAGGGAAATGAATGAATGACAAATATATACGCACACCTGTTGAATTGGTCACAAGAGACAGCAAAATTAATAAGAGCGGCGACGGCGGTCGGTGGACAATACCACTACCGGGTGAGAATATTTTATGCCGTGAGAGACGGATTTCGATCGCATGTCAACCGATTTGTCATCTTCACGACGACGCGATGACTGTAGGTTATAGGTATATATTATTATTAAAAGTGCCGCGCACCTGCCGCCGTATTATCAAGTCACGTCGTCGCCGGCCGGTCCACGCGAGACCGTCGCGAGTTCTCATCGCGCGACATATGTGATGGTCTATAATACCGTCGCGGTCGGCGTCCAACCCAAGATGACCTAACACCGTGACGATCGTACATATATCCAAATCTATATGGATGTGTGAGGGGCTCTCTGGCATTGAAAAAATAAGAATTACGTCAAAGAGGCGATGAAAATATTATATGCAATTATAAGACACACATTAATTAAGTAGATGTGTTGAATATAATAATTATACTAACAACTGCTAGTGATTACTGATTTTATTATGTAGGTATACTGCTAAGTGTATATGTGAATCGACGAAACGATACAGCCTGAACTCTCCCTCGCAGACCGTGTAATATATTAGAGGGTGACTAGGAAAGAAAATAATTGTTTTGTTTTTTATACAGATATGTGGCTATATAATATATAATATATATTATATAGGTAGCCCATATTCTGACGGATTCAACTTTTTTACATATCGCTCATGATAGTAGTGATTAGTGAGAGTATATTTTATAGCTACATAATTACATAATGCATATATATATATATATGCAGTGTGCACACAAAAAAATAAAAACCTGACGGCTATTATTTAGGCCCAAACGTTTAATCATTGAGTTTTATTCTTTAAAAACTGAAATTTATTAATTCTAAACGTAAAATTATTATAGAGAGGTAGGTACTGCGATTAAGCAATTATTACAATATATATAATGATCAATATTGTTTATTTATATAAATTATTATGTACTTTGAAATATTTATAACACTAGCAATATATATCATTCATATAATAATGGATAGTTACTTATTCAATGTTTAATATGCAGTTAAATATCTTCTACGATTTACATTTGGTTTTATAAAAATATTTATCGTTGTTGATAGGTAATTATAAATAAATAAAAATTATATAAAATATACCTAATATGTATTTAATAAATAGCTTCACTCATGTGCGTGTCTCGGGACTGTAAACTTGTTTGACCTTTAAATATCTAATATTTTCTTATTAAAAATAAGATTGATCAGATTTAATTTTTTTAAACTCAATCGTGACTCATATCTGGCATTATTAATCAATCAAAAATTAAATAATTGGGATGGGCATACTTATAATATCCGGATATACGTGTATACCCGCTTGTTAAATGATTTCGGTTACCAGAAAATAATGTATACTACCATATAGTAGAGTAATGTATTCTATTAGGAATCCTTTTAGCCAATAAGGATTACTCGGTCTTTTGTTCTGAATAAATGTTATTTTCTGTATTGACTGATCGACTACGCTACGCCCACCCGAGTTAAGTCGTATAAAATATTGTTCCGGATTGATCAGGAATAAAGAAGAAAGGAGATATATGTATATAAAACAAAACACAGATATAAGATATAACGCGAGAGAAAAATAGTAAAAAAATTACACGCCCTACCTGATGTTAATTACGGTTTAGATGTGCTGATTGATAGGCCATCCGTACATGGGAATCTCTCGTCATTATTATAATATATATATATATATTTCATTCCTCATTTTTTCACCTCCCTCTTTTTTACTCTTGGTATTTTTCCCTCTTTGCAGCCTGTCTCAAAAACCGATCACATTTATTTGCTTTTCCCAATTATTATAGACAATGAATAATCGAGTCCGATTAACTGGCCACAAACGGTTTTTTGATTCGGCTGGCCGAATAAATGGCAGACAATCGCTCAAGGGGTAATGCCGTTCGACACCTTCATATACTTCGTCATCCATCCATCGTACAGTAGGCAACTTCTGCGTTCGGTAATTGCATCGATGATGATGATAATAATAATAGTGTCTAATGTTTTATATTTTTGAAAATCGTGACTGTCATTTTTCGGCTGTTTAGGGACATAATATACAACTTTTAACAGTCGTATCCGAAATCGAAACAAGGTGTTCATTTTCCGTGTGATTTTTCTGTGCAAAGTTAGTAGTCATCGTTAAATAGTTTTAAAAATTTAAACGATTTCTGTACTTTATATGTAGGTGTGATATTGTAGTAAAATAAAAAAAACATGCCATTGAATGCAATTATAGATAATATGCTTTGTTTTGAAATTATTTATGTTTGTAAATCTTAAAATCTTAGTTCAAAAATATTTTATACTGAAATAAATGTCGATGTTACCATCAAAAAATAAAATTATACGAGTTTGGACGACTTAAGATTTGTAGTGAATGTATTTTAAATGTATGAACTTTGATATTAAATAATTTGTATCAATGTTGAATTTTTTATCTAATAATGAAATTTAAATATAAAACTAAAAATACTAATTTAAACTTTCATTATATATTTTTAAATTTTATGATGTTGTTAAATTAAGATTGTTTCAAATAGCTTTTTTAGTTTAAAAACTTAATTCTTACATTTTCCACTAACTGAACACCAAAATGGTCAATAAATGAAATTACTGTGTTGTAAGTTTTCTTTAAAATAATGATTAAGGTAGTTATAGAGTAAAAATATTATAAAACATTGGCATCATTCAAGGTATAAATATATTTGTACAGTTTTAATAATTTAGATAGACAAGTATTTCTTAGTCACGTATCAATTTAGCATGTTACATAATTGATCAACATACTTGATCGCCCCCGGGAATTTGTTGCACTATAGGTCGTATACCTCGAATAAATTCCTTCTTTATTTATTCCGGTAGCAGCCAGCTTATACGCACGCAAAATCTTCGTAACTGGTAATGATTATTACATTTGTTTGCCTTATGTTATTATATACCAGATGAACATCCAACATGCAAAAATATAATTGAAGTAATAATTTTATTTCGCTTGAAATTAAAAATAAATATTTTAAAAATTATCTCATATACTTAAAAACAAATCATTACCACAGACATCGATTATTTTTATGAAAATAATATTATCACATTTATACTGTTAAAAGTTTTACATAACCACACTTCACAGTATAAAAATATCATGCATAAATTCTATAATTTTGGGTTGATATTTAAATAACCGATATAGGTTGGTACGAGTATATCAGTTAGATAGCATACCATGAAAATTAACGTTTGGGATAAAGATCAATAGATGCTTAACTTTATAAGATATTGAGTAACATTATCCTATTTATTTGTCGGATAACAAATAATAAGAGAGCAGTAAGATTTCATTAAAATTGAGATCGTAGACGTGATGTGTTAAAAATTAATAACAATAAATCAATTTTATATAATTTTATATGAATTAAGTTTAGTTAATATTGTTTAAAACAGAGGTTATACGGACATTTAAATGTTTTTTTTAATGTCGTTTTAAAAGAAAATATAGATATTATTTGAAAATTTATATTCGCATATTATATAAATTGGATGTTATATTTGAAAAACTAAATTTGACATACCACAAAACTACTTGAAATAGATTTATTTGTACTTAGAAAGGGAGGGAAACGAGTCGAATTGCTTTCTACAGTGTTCAATAACACAGACGTTTTTGTCGATAATATGATCCGGCTTTAGACAAGGATTATATACCACACACTCTCGTGTCGTTTCCAATTATCAGCCGTTTGTCAAATGCGTGTCGTTTCGAACCGCCGACTATAGGCTAGAATTGAAGAGGGTAAATAAATTCATGGGGTGACTAATAGCTGGGGGAGAAAATTATTTCATTAATTGTTTCACAACTTAATCGACTTAATCGCGTGTTTGATTCCCATATAAACGAATCGTAAATACGAGTTTTGTTTAGACTACTTCATAAAGGCGGCGAGGGTATAAAATATGTACACTGTTCTATGCTATTATCGTTTTCTGCTTCTCGGACGTTGT